AGACCGCAAGGCGCTCGAGAAGCATCGTCAGGTCGTCCACCACGTTACCGGTCGGCACAACGGACCCGTCGCGTCGCTGCGCTTGCTTGATGGCCGCCTTGATGTCGCGCTTCAAAGCGCGCAAGGCTTGCTTGCGCGTCGCGGAGAGCTGGTGAGATGGCGAGTCGGCGATGTGCTTGGCGTACTGCAGCAGACGCTGGAGCTGCAGGAGTTCGTACTTGCGGTTCCAGGCCTCGTCGAACTTGGAGGTGTCGGCTTGCTTCTCCTTCTTGCCGGACTTGGAGGTTGCTTCTTGTGCGTCTCCTTCCTCCTCCTCCGCCTCAGCCTCCTCCTCTTCGACGGCCTCTTGTGCTTCCTCCGCGAGCTCCTTCTTGGCGGCCTTCATGGCCGCGGCGAGAAGCTTCTTGTCCTTGGGCGCACCGGTCGCATAGAGGACGCGCTCGACGTCGACCTGGAAGAGATCGCCAGGGTTAAGGAGGTAACCGGGGTGTTTCATCTGCAAGGGATCGCGTAAGGTTAGCGCCAGATCAAGCAGCCCTTAAGAGTAGGCAACTGTATTGTATAAGTCGGTAGTGGGACGTCATGGTGGTGTATGTACATGCCTTCTTGCCGTTGACGGTGACGGCACCGTGCACGACCATTTGGCGGGCCTGTCTCGCACTGCTGGCAAAGAGGGCTCTGAAGATGGCGATATCGAGGCGCCTCTCGAGAGGTGCAAATGTCATTTGCTCGTACGGCGTGGTAACCTTCCTGCCCGGGTTGGCGATGACTTGCTTGGCAGGTTTTCCATCGTCGGTCTTCTCGTAGGCTGGGGGCTCTGACAGGCCGGAACCGCGGCCGGCGGCTTGTTCGCTGCCGTCGTATTTGGCCATGTACGCCGGGTCCATGTTGACGACGGCCGGTAGGCGACGGCTAAACATGCGCGCCCATTTGCGTTCCTTGATGTGCTCTCCGTGGTATGCTCGTGTCATGGACTTGGCCAACCATTTCTGCTGGAAGAATGTCTTGGAGATGATTCTGGGCTCTCTTCCGGCCGTTGCCAAGTTGTACAGGTTATATTTGTTCCATGTCGGCCTGATGGGCTATTTAGAAGCAGAAGCACAAGCAAGATACGTCAGCAAGATCGAGTGTTGTGGGTGTCGAGTTGTCGTGGCAGTGGGACTGGTAGGTAGGTAATGGGGCGGATGGGTGATGCGGCGGCGACGGCGACGATGGCGACGGCAAACCCGGCGATGGCGGCATAAAACACCGAATAGCACGTACCTTTTTCTTCAAACTGTGGTACTTAAACAACCTCCGGATCTTCATGTTGGGTGTGTGTCGGGGGGTGGCTTCGGGGATTCTGATCGGACTGCAGGCCCCGTGAATTTGGCGAAGTGGACGGACCGGTTCGGCGCAGGTTGTTTGGAGATTGTCGAGTCCGGAGCGGTCCGGGGCACCTAGCAGCACTGCCAACGAGGGGAGCTTCCCGGGACCCTTCCACCTCTTATCGGGCGCCGTCCTCCGAAAATTATTTCAGACCCGAATTGGAGCACGCGCTCGCCCATTGGTCGCGTTCACGTGAGGAGCTCGGGCCACTGCGCGTGAACTCCAGAGTGGATGGTGGGGAACTGGCAGGCACAAGATGCGGGAGCTAGAGCGAATGGGGTATAGCCCCAGTACCTCTTGGCGGATTGGGGATGCAAGTGGAGTGGGGCTAGAAGCAGAAGCGGGCGGTAAATACTGGCACAAAATGTCCAAAACCAAAGGCGGTTGGAGCTGGGTGGGGCTGGTTGTGGTTGCTTGTTCGTTTTTTTTGCGCTGAGGGGAGGTTTGACGAGCCGCAGTCCTCGTTATGACTCCAATGCCGACGGACCCTGAAAGAGTCAGATGGGTTACGTTGCTGTACATCGATAACAGAAAGGTCTTATATTAAAGGTCGAAAAGACTGAATGAAACTCTCTCCACTGATCTCTGACAACTGGAGAGTTTGTAACAATTCAGAATTCTCAAACTCGACAGCAAAGCGGAAGGTCGATACCTGACTTACACGTCTTGGGGTTTGTTGGTGAATGGCCGTCCTTCCTGTCGCGTCGATCAACAATCAACCCTGCACTAACACCACTGCTCCCCCACCCTGCAATAACATTTTGCGCCTACCGCCCCAAAACTGGAGTGCACCTGAAGGACCCACTAAATAATTTCGTCGTTTTGCCTGCTTGGTCCCCAGTCTCCAGTGCACTTTCTACATTTTCATCATCCATTCACCATTATCTCTTCTCCATCTACATCCATCCTTCTCTTCAGTCCACGCGTGTCACGTTAGACGGTCAATTGCCTTTCCAGCCGCTTGTACTCGACCTTTTCAAATACCGACAGCCCAAACCGACCTTCATCATGAGCGACACCACCGCCAACACTGAGGCTGCGCCTGCCGTTGCGCCTGCCGTCGAGAATGTTCAGACCGAGGTCCAAACCGAGGCCGTAGAGGCCCCCGTCGCTGAGGCTGCCCTCGCCGCCGAGGAGGCGCCCAAGACCGAGGATGCCAGCAAGGAGGAGGAGAAGAAGCCCGAGGCTACCAAGTCTATCGACCGCGCCGACTTCAAGAACAACAGGAAACTCGATCCTTCGACCCAGCCCGTCACTGACGATCCCGTCAAGATCCGCAACCAGGTACGCCCAGACAATTCAAATCGTCATGTCGCATGTCACCGTGTCTAACAAACAGTCTTAGGTCGAGTTCTACTTCAGCGACAGCAACCTCCCTACCGACAAGTTCATGTGGGAGACGACCGGAGGCGTAGAGAACAAGCCCGTTTCGCTCAAGACCATCTGCAGCTTCAAGCGCATGCAGATGTTCCAGCCCTACTCGGCCGTCGTCGGCGCGTTGAAGGAGAGCGCCTTCTTGGAGGTGTCTGGCGAGGAGGGCCAGGAGACGGTCAAGCGCAAGAAGGCTTACACTTCGTCCTCCGATGCGCAAAAGGCCCGTCTGGCTGCCAGCGTCTACGTCAAGGGTTTCGGCGAAGAGGGCGGATCCACTCAGTTCGACATCGAGGCTTTCTTCACCAAGTTTGGTCAGGTCAACCTGGTGAAGCTGAGGCGCACTGAGCAGAATGAATTCAAGGGCTCGGTCTTCGTTGAGTTTAAGACCGAAGAAGAAGCCAACGCCTTTGTTGCCCTGAACCCCGCCCCCAAGTGGCAGGACCAAGAGCTCGTCATCAAGAAGAAGAAGGATTACTTGGACGAGAAGACCCAGCTCATCAAGGAGGGCAAGATGGAGCCCGGTACCAGCAAGAAAAAGATCTTCTTTGAGGGCAGTATCAAGGGCGCTGATCGTGGCCGTGGACGTGGCGGCCGCAGCGGTGGCGACAAGGGTGATTGGAAGTCGCGTCGTGATAACGACCAGAGGAACGGCTTCAAGGGTGGCCGTGGCCGTGGAAGGGGTGGCCGCGGTGGCCGTGGCGGCCGTGGTGGTCGCGACAACCGTGACCGCAACAACGAGTAAGTTATAATCATCCAATAACTGGGTTCCTCGAACATTGACTAACGGGTGGTACAGCAACAACAACAAGCGTGCCCGTGAGGATGACGGAGACAAGAGTGCCGAGCCAGCGGCGAAGAAGGTTGACACTAAGGCTGAGCAGCAATAGAAGGCCGGCGTTGGTGTGCTCTAAGTTCTGGGCCGGACAGACTGATGACTTGTTCCTGATGAATAATTCTTGAGGCTGTAAAATATTCGGACGGCGTTATATGGGTGGTGTTTGTTTTAAACTTAAAAGGGCAGGGATTTCGTACTACAACATCCGATATTGACCTTGATAGCGTGCTGTGGTTATTGCATGCAAATATATACGCAGTATAAAGGCTGCGGTCTTGGAAGTAAGCATTATATTACCTCTACTGGACGAGTTGAGTATATGGATTATCAGGTACTTCATCATGTCAGAGCTTCATGTTCTTGATCCCTTAAGGATTGGAAGTTGTGGTCTCTGATAGCTCAAAGATCTCCTATTGGATCATGTGCAGATACCAAGACGACGCGGTCATAGTTGATGGTGTGGGTAGACAATGAGACAGTCGCGGGCGCTTTGGGGAAACAACCATCATTTACTGAACAGTTATTTGCTTTCGTTCTAGGCCTTCCACGCTGAGCACGCCTATGATATCGTTCCAGACAGCAAGTCGCCATTTAATAGCTTGAATTCTATGGTACTATGTACGATGTCTTTGTTGGCTATTAGGGCGGGATGAGCACATGATGTAAAAGATGGAGTTCTAGTGTATAGTGTAGTTTGGGGGCTGGACGTAACGAATGAGATGCAGTGTGTATGGCGAGTCCGTCACGAAACAGACACAGTGCTCGAGACCCTCTTCTGATACTTGAAGGAACCCCCCTTCGACCAATGATATTGCCGAGAAAACCTCAGCATGGGCGATGATCTGGATTACTAACACCCTCATTATAGCGTAGAGACAACCGAGAACTTTTACAACTTGCAACTGTAGGTAGAGGTATAAAGCTGCTCACGCACTACAAATTGTCGTTTATTGTCGCCCGTCAAGACAGGGGTTCAAGTCATTTTGGCCCTCAGTCACTTCCACGGAGTCCTACCCCGCCTAGCAGCCCTGTCTCTCTATTTCGATTACTGCTACGAAGCGTAAGCCGACTGCTACATATGCCTGCGTACACGAGGACAACAACTGGGTAAGGTACCTACGGAAACAGCACGTACGTACCAGCCGACGTCCAAAGTCTAGATTTCTTGGGGTTTGGGGGTTCACAGTTCAAACTTCGCTTCCATTATATTGATCAGCAACCACTTCACCTCACGTCCAACGGGGAACAGGAGAACGGGAGATCCGCAACATCTCAGGGGCTTATCCGTCAGCCTTTTACTTTTTCAGAGCCGCCCGTCTGCTTGTTTGGAGGTCCCGCTTGCGCCGGCGTTCACTGATCGCTTGTTCGGCCTCTTGTCCTCTTCTCACCCAGTTTTAGTCGCTAGACTAAGAGCCATCTTAACCAACTCGGCCACCCTCATCGCCATCACGGTTGTGGCTTTTCCCTTCCCGAAATCCCTACCCCGGACTACTCGGATCTCCCTTGCTTCAGTCGTACACGGTCTTCAGCCTAACACCGTACCCTCGGAGCTGAGACCCCGGGGACTCCCCGCCAATTCCCCCGCAATCCCGCACTGGACCCTGGTACAGCAGAACCCATCAGCATCAAGTGTCACGAGTTCGTGTTGAGTCTTGCTTGCTGTCACAGTCGCAGCCCTTGCCAGAGTCACTATCACGGCTCGTACTTGGTGGTTTACTAAAGTACTCACCGGCAAATGAGCAGCCCGGATGTTCGAATGATGTCCTCTCAGGATGCGCCAGGCTCAGCCGGACTCGCCCCCGACAACATCGCCGCTTCGTTACCGTCCAAGAAGAAGTCCAGGCGAGGCGCTGACCCTGCCAACCAAAAGCGAAGATGCGTGAGCACGGCCTGCATCGCCTGTCGGAGGAGGAAGTCCAAGTGTGACGGCGCCCTTCCGAGCTGCGCGGCCTGTGCCAGCGTCTACGGTACCGAGTGCATCTATGACCCCAACTCGGATCACCGCCGCAAAGGCGTCTACCGGGAGAAGAACGATAGCATGAAAGCCCAGAACGCCACGCTGCAGATTCTAATAGAGGCCATTTTGAACGCTTCCGAGGAAGATGTGCCCGACATTGTTAGGAGGATTCGCACCTGTGACGACCTTGACGCAGTAGCCGAGTCCATCCTCAGGGATGAGAAGAACGCGACAGCAACCAACGACAATGATTACAGCGATGAACCCACACAACTTGGCGGAGACGATGCTACCACCCAGGTCGTTGAGGGCGAGAGGGACTTGGCCCGCAAGATGGGAGAGCTGCGTATCGAAAATGGTTCTGTCCGTTTCATCGGCGGCACCTCGCATCTCATATATCTCGGTGAACCGACAGATGCCCCAGAAGAACCAGAGCTTGAAACTCACCTGTCGACCGGCGATGAGGATCCAATCACCACCTGGACAGAGGTTACCAAGGATCCTCAGCTAATAATTCATCTCATCAACATGTACTTCAACTGGCACTACCCCTACTTCACCACTCTGTCTAGGAGCTTGTTTTATCGGGATTTCATCAAGGGAAAGCCGGTTGGTCAACCACGCTCCACTGTTTACTGTTCGTCGCTGTTGGTCAATGCCATGCTCGCTCTTGGCTGTCACTTTACAAGCGTCGACGGTGCCTTTGCGGTGCCTGGGGACAGCAGGACCAAGGGTGACCACTTCTTCGCCGAGGCCAAGAGACTGATCGTTCAGAACGATGAGTACGAAAAACCAAGGCTCACTACCGTGCAAGCTTTGGCGCTCATGTCAGTGCGAGAAGCAGGCTGCGGACGGGAAGCGAAAGGCTGGGTATACAGCGGTATGAGCTTCAGAATGGCCCAAGACATTGGCCTAAATCTAGACATTGGATCTCTGGATGAAAAGGAGGTGGATGCGCGGAGGATCACCTTTTGGGGTTGCTTTCTGTTTGACAAGTGCTGGTCAAACTATCTGGGACGGCTACCACAGCTTCCCAAAAACACCTACAACGTTCCGAAGTATGATGTGTTTCCAGACGAAGATGCTGAGCTGTGGTCCCCCTATACCGATGCAGGCTTCGACCAGTCTTGCAAGCAGCCATCCCGGACACGGGCTATAGGCTTACAACTGTCGAAACTCTGCGAGATCAGTAGTGATCTCTTACTATTCTTCTACCACCCAAGTCATATTGGAAGATCGAGCGGCAAGTCAGCTGAGCTCAAAAAGCTGAGCGAACTTCATCGGCGTCTGGAAGACTGGAGGACGGAACTGCCAAAGGAATTCGAACCAAAAGATGGGCAGTTACCAAATGTCATTCTGATGCAGTAAGTCTTTTCTACTCTCTACTTGCCCGGTACTGGCGCGGAGTTGCTGACCGCTTCACAGCATGTTTTACCATCTACAATACATCCATCTCTTCCGACCCTTTCTAAAGTATACAAAGGAGGCTTCGCCCCTGGAAAAGGTCCAGCCCCGAAGGATATGCACAACTAACGCTAATAGCATATCCAAACTCATGCGACTGTACAAAAAGCTATACAACCTCCGGCAAATATGTAACATTGCCGTGTACATGCTACACTCCGCCTGCACAATACACATGCTTAACTTGCCAGAAAAGACTGCCAGACGGGATATAACCCACGGAGTTAAACAATTGGAGGAGATGGCTGAAGACTGGCCTTGTGCGCGGAGAACATTGGGTGTCATCAGCGTTCTAGCTCGAAAGTGGAATGTAGAGCTACCCGAGGAGGCCGCCATCGTTTTGAAAAGGACAGACGAAAAGTACGGAATGTTTAGCACTTCCGAGGTCCCCTCGCCCAACAGGACGGCCCCCTCTCTCGCTCCATCCTCGCCGGCACCTCCTTACTCTCCACAAGCGTCTCTGCTTCTTTCTACATCAGCCGCCGCAGTACTGGAACAACAACCCTACAGTCCAATGACGCTATATAGCCATCCGACGCCTCCACATCTTGCCCCTGAAAGTATATCCGATCCCAGAATGTCACCCGATCTCGTCGCCTTCTCCGACCTGCCTGGGGCGTCAGCTCCCATCATCCCTCAACAACAGCAAAACATGCAGACCATGTCTGGCCTAAGCCAAAACCACATGCTTCATCAACACCACCAGCACCACCAGCACCACCTAGAGAGCCAACATCAACCCCAACAGCCACACCTCAACCACATGAGCTACCAGCAGCAGCACAACTTGCTCACCCACCCGGTGAGCGCCTCATCCATGTCCATGAGCGACACCCTCGCCACCATTACCGCATGGGGTATGCCGACCTCGTCACCCGGCAGCGGCAACGGCGGCATGTCCCAACCTCCTCAGAGTCAGCAACAACACTATCCAACCGTAAACACTGTGAAGCCGACGGCAGCAGCAGCACAAACTTTTAGTCCAGTCCAATTACACGCAAACAACCTAGCGACGACAACGACCAACCGCAACAACCATAACCCCAACAACAAGGGCATCGGAAGACAAGTCAGCCCCAGTTCTATCTACGCCATTGATGGACAGGACTGGTACCTGAAGGACGGAGTTACGTGGCAACAAGGCTTTCAGGGGTGGGATTTGGAGGGTGTCGGGTCGGTCAGATCGGGGACAGCAGCAAAAGCAGGCGTCGGCACTACTAGTGGCCCCCCTTCTATTGCCGTTAGTGGTCCTGGTAGTGATGCTGGTAGTGCCATGGCAGGGCTAGGTCGGGGGAATGTTAGTGGTGGTGGTGGTGCCAGGCAACACCATCAACAGCAGCAGGCTAATATGTTCGCCTTTCATCACGGGGCTGAAAGAGGAGGGAATGGTGTTGAATCGACGGGGATGGGGATGACGACGGTAGGGGGAGGAGGAGGGGGGTTCGATCCGATGGGGGGATCGGGGTTGATGGATGATTTGGTGGGTCTAGAGGAATTGGGAAGTTTGGACAGTTTGGGGCATTTACCTGGGCTGGATTGAGTTTGTTTATCCTCACAGTTTTAGAATCGAAGGAATTGGGGAAATGGGTGAATAGATGGGGGTGGAAGAAAGACATACTATATACCCAAGGTGGAGAGTAAATGTCACTAAGCCGTTACATACACATTTTTTTGTTCAGAGTACTTAAAGACGATGGTTTGTTTGCGTGCCATGGTGACTCTCAATTTGGATATACTCACAATAGCAGAAAACTTTGAATGGAGCTTACTTAACTCTCATGTCCATCAAAGTTTGCCAATTCAAGGATATCCGAATTCCCTCACACCTCATCAGAATGTTTCACCTTCGTCTAGCTTAAGGATAACGCATAACAACATAGCAATCAGAAGAAAAGTTCAAAAAAAGAAGGAAGAGGGTGGACTTACAGCTGGGTCGAACGCACAGCGTGCACGGCAGTCGGGGGGCAGGAAGGAAGGGAAGAGGAAGGAATCGACGACCATGACTGCTGCGCCATCCTACCATTCAGCTTGCCACGGAAGGTACGATGAGGGAAGTAATACATATACCCTAGAAGGATTGGATTGCGTGCTACCTATGTACGGTCCGTTGAGCCACAGGCCCAGTCGAGGAGTGAGGATGGAAAGCGGGCGGGCGGGAGCGAGGCATGCCAAACATATTTGGTCTACGGCGAGTCCCTCTAGGCACTTGTCTTTTGCTTGAATAAACCTCCGTTTCAAACTACTCTATACTGTATACTGTGCTCTACTCTCGCTGCCAGCGCAAGAACTCGCACTCACACCACCTTCCTCGCCTCACATTCCCTATACACTCTCTATCCCCATGTCCTCCAAAACCCTCCTATACTCCGCTGCCTCCCTCTCCATCTCCTCCATCCCCCTCGCCGTCCTCGCCGCATCCTCAATACTAGGGAAACTTCCTCCGGGCTTTGGTCTCGCCTGCAGCTCCGCCATCCCCTTCTCCTCCTCTTCCAAAAGCGCCTCCACCTCTTTCTTCTGGACGTCACTCCCGTTTAACTGTTGTTGTCGTCCAGATGCGGCATCCTCTCGTTGCTGCCCAAACGTACTGCTGTGCTGAAGAAGATGATGATGATGCCCACCATTCCCATGCCCACCATCACCCTGCCCATGCCCATTATCCCTATCCCACAACGCCCCCCCTACATTCCCCTTCTCCTCCGCCATCCACTCATACAACTCATCCGACGGCGTCTCGGCGTCCTTGGCGCTCACGTCGCGAATCCGCGGGATGACGTGCACGTGCACGTGGGAAACGGTTTGGCCGGCTTCGGGACCGTCTTGCACGGCTATGTTGAAGGAACCGCCTGTTTCTAGCATCACTTTATCATTTACCCCCTCGCCATGGTCATCCTCTATGGACTGTGGGTGAAAGTAATACCGTCCCAACATCCTCTGCACCACTTGCACCGTGGAAAACAAATCGGTGATTTCCGCGGGGGAGAGGTCGGTTAAACGCTTGTGCGGGACCAAAGGGCAGACGAGGACGTGTCCAGGCAGCAAAGGTTTGAGGTTCACTAGGGCGAAGGAGTGCGGTGTGCGGAGAAAGACTTGGTTGGTTACTTTGAAGGGACCGAAGTGGATGTCATGGTTGCCGTTGTGGGATTGCTGCTTTGATGATGATGATGATGATGACGGGCTCCCAGTCGAAGGGTCGGCGGAGGTGCTCATTGTCATCTTTCCTGTTGCTGTTGGTGTTGCGATGTTGGCGGTTGGAGCCGGGTACCTTGAGCGAAGTGATGAGACGAAAATAGGTCTGGGTGAATAGCCGGTGAGTGTGGCCGGTGGAGGTTGTAACAGGGTCGCAGAGGGAACGTTGATAAGTCGTTGCTGTTGTCTGCTGATGACAACGGTCGCCTTTCCACTTCTTCTGATCAAACTGAGGAGCAAACTCTCTGTCTTTCTGGGGATGTGTCTCATGCGCAGCCCGGCCTCGGTCAGTGTGGCGATGGAAGTAAGGAAGAAAAGGTGGGCGAGAAGTCACACTTTCAGGCGATGTACGTATCACTCCGACCTGAAAAGAAGATTTTGGTTATGAAGTTGGTGTCAGTCGTTCCGGTATTTGGGGATGGTGTCAAGTGTTTGGTTTCACGACAGTGTTGGACGACGAGGTACGACCTAGAGTTGGTGTTGCGGTGAGGTGAGACAAGAATACAGCTACGGCCCGCTATAAGTGTCGCTGACAGCGGTGCCTTGACAGTCCGTGATCGGTGGAGACTGCGGCGCATGGATGATTAATGATTTGCAGCAGTGACGTTACGACGACAGGGCAGTTCAAGCCAACCATTAACAATTCACTGCAAGACCAGGGGCCGGTCGCGGCTTCTATAAAGTTCGCCGATTTCCTTCCAACTGAAGGCTTGAATCTTCGTAATATGTTCGAATATCCTCGAGTATTATCCATGGAGGCAGAATCAACCAAAAAAGGTGGTCTCTATGGGGGGAGGTTATTCAATTTGACCTGGTACACCCCAACGACTACTCATACACTAGCTTCCAAAGGTCGACCACTATCACCATCTTATACACAGATATACCAGATCACTGAAAAACGATAACTGTTTATAACCCTTTGAGCTGGGTTTAAGTCCTTGACAAAAAGCCACCTCAATACGCACAGCATCCAAGCAATATAGACAAAAGCGGAGATGGATCTATTCACGCGTACATACAACTAACATGACAAAGGGAAATGGCCCTGAAAGGGCTCAGCATGGTATACTTGCTCGTTACAAACCGGGTATAACCTCCTCATCCTCCAACAAATCCTGTCTCTCCCTATTTCGTGTCGACCCTGAGCCAGATGAGGAAGGCCTCGGCTCATCATCCTCTGTCATAAATACTACAAAAACTGTCAGCGGGTGCGAAAAGCAAAATCCAAGCCGAGGCCGACCAGGCCTTCTAGGGGACTGAGAACATACCATGAGGTCTAACAGTAAAAGACGCAACCAACGCCGCCGCAAAGATAGAACAAAGCAACACAAAGAACGCCTGCGGGAACGTCGACACGGTAGCTGCGTACAGCCCATTGAAGATGATGGGGAAAAAGACACGAGCCAGGGCATGAAGCAGCCCGACAGCTCCCAACAACTGTCCCACCCGCTCAGTCGGAACATGCTTGCTCATAGAGGCCTGAATCGATGCCGATCCGAGACCGCCAAAGGCCGCGATGACGGCCGACAGAATAAACCACTCCTGGGTGCGAGCAAAGATGTACCCGCCGATGCCAATAACATCGGAAATCAGGGCACTTCGCAGAACCCACACGTCCAGTTCGTCAGCGCCGACATTCTTCTCGTCCACCGGCAAGTCGCCAGACTCCCTCCTTCGTCGAGCTGCAGGCCGAGTACGGAAAATGTAATTGATGACGGGGAAAATGCCAATGAGAACGAAGATCCGGACCATCGAGACCAGGGACATGAACCGCGAGGCCTCGAGATTTCCCCAGCCAAACACGAACTCAGTGTACAAGATCAAGATGGTTCCGGAGCTCATGGCAGTTCCAAGAATGGACACGTCGATGAGTGCCAGCGTGATAAGATTGCGGCGCAGGCGTTTATGTTGAGGACCAGACGGAAACAGAATCTTCAACGGAGCAAAAGGATTCGCCCTGTGCACAGAACGCACACCATGTCCGAAGTGCTTGCCGAATGGGATGAACTTGGACACCACGGCTGCCCAGCGGGGTACCTCCCCGAGAGCCTCCTGCTCCCTCGCGTATTTTTCGCGTGCCAGTAGCTGGCGCCTCCGTGAGAGCGATTCGGGGGTAACGAAGTAGATGAACAGGATGAAGACGATGTGGCAACCCAGGGTAACGTAAAAGATGGATAGAAGGGATCCTGTCCACTTGACGAAGTATCCGGCAAGGAGGGGACCAAAGGCGAGGCCGGTGAACAGACATGCGTGGAGGTAACCGATGGCAACGCCTCTCTTGGATGGGGGCGTGCAATCGCTGGCGTACGAGTGGATGAGGACGCTGCCGGCGGTAAAGGAACCGGCCAGGCCGTCGAAGAAGGAGCCGAGCAAAATCCAGCTGTAGTGGATGGTATCTGGATACTTTCCAGCCAAGATGACCGTAATCTCGGAAATGACACCGCCGATGGAACAGATGGCCACCATCGATGTGCGACCATATCGATCCGAGAGGGCTCCGAGCTTGGGTGCGGTAAAAGCACTGATTATGCCCACCAAGACGCTCATGCACAAGGTGAAGCTTGCGACTAGGCGCTGTACGTCGGGGATGTTGCATTGGGGGTTGTTGCCGCCGTGGATAACAGGTGTGAAGACGAAGCCGGGGTCTGCTGCTGATCTATCGGCAAAGTACCGGTCACAGATGAGAGTGATGATTCTGAATTCAGTCAGTTTCAGCAACAAGAGTCGGCCCATGTTTACAGATTGCGAGATGAGCGACACAATTCAGCCATGAGGGAATCGTACAGATTAATCTTGGGGACCAGCGAACCTCCAAAGGCCAACGTGAACATGGCATAAGGTACGACTAGCCACCAGACCTGTGCCCTTGATTAGCAACTCATCAAAACAATAGTCAGAAGCTTAGAACATACAGCTGGTTTCCTCCACCATGGAAGCTCTTCAAAGTCCTTCAATGCAGCCCAGCTGTCCTTGCGAGGAGCATCATGGCCATCGTCAGGACCCAGCAGGCCCATCGCTTCGGTGACATTGTCCGTGAATCCGTTTGTCTTGAGAGTGTCGCGAAGGCGCGCCGTGGCTGAACTCATGCCTCGGGAATCCGCCATAGTGCCCCGAGTCGAAGTTGATGCGGGATCCGAATCCGGAAACCCGCTGTGTGTAGCCATATTGGGCCCAGTCCGGGTGTTGATATGTTGCCGCCTCGGGTTCCACCAGCGTTGCCTTCCAACTCCCGGTTTCCTTGCGTGCTCGAGCGCAGTATCTCGAGCGTGATACTCGAGATGAGTCTGCAAGCCGGAGCTGTATGTACAGTAAAGAGAGTATGTGAGGTGAGAGTGAAAAGTAGGAGGAGAGTTAGAGTGAAGGATGACAAACCAACGCTATTGCGACATGGGCGGAGCTACGCACTAACAGCAAAAAGGCACATGCCGGCGCGTTGGGTTTCTTATCTCGTCGCAAGTGTTGGTTTGCTGGCGCGGAACAAAGCCGGGACAAGTCTCGTCTGAGATCGATGTTTCGTCATCGTCAGAGTGCAGCAACCGCTCAATCAGGAAGGACGATAACGGGAGGGAGGGATGGAAGGAGGGAGCGGGATGGGAATGATGGGAAAGAAGCAAAGGTAACTTACATAACCCAACTCCCCAATCATGGCATGAAGAAACAACCTCGCTTCCAGGTTCCAGTTCCATGTGGCCCAAGACACATCAATACGCTAAAAACGGAATCTACGGAGAATGAACGCTTGTTCCGGTCTCGATTTCCAACAGTCCTGACCTGTTAGGCGTTACATGGCAGTACTTTGCTGTCTAGCAATATCCTGCAGATAAGCCCTGTAGCGAGCCCGGTGGCCCGATGTCTTGGAAGCAGCTGTCACTGCAGCAGGTACCTATAAGTACCTATCAGGCATATGTTATTGCCCCGATCCCGTCTCACAATCGGTCGGTCGGCCATGTGGGGTTCCGATCTCCGAACCCTCCACGCGGAGGGGAGATAACGGTCCTTCGATCGCTGCCGTCTCACCTTGGACCTGCGTCCACTCTTCACCACTTTTGTTTCCCCATGGTTTTGATATCTTCCCATACCGATGGACTCATCCAGTCGCAATTTAAAAAAAAAAAAAAAAAAAAAAACCGATACAAAGACAACTCTCATATTTCCCCAGAAACCCATGTTTGACAGACAGAATGCGAGCCTGACCAACCCAATGGGCCACGCTTTAACTCATCTATGGAGTGACGGGTTGTCCACTAGAGTTCCGCGGGCTAATCGGTGACGCAGCCATCCAGGCGTTGCCAGGGATCCCAATCCATGCTTTGCGGCCCTCCCCCACGACGGAACAGCTTGTCTCAGATCTGATTGATAAGCCACCACACCACCATTACACAACACCATGGCAGGCACATATTGGACCTATCATGTCTGGATGTATACCTAACAGCTCCTGTCCACCTTATTTGTGGTTTGCCGTCGCCATGCCAACCTGCTCTGTTGACTAACGTTCCGACTTGAGAAAAATGTTCATTTTGTGTATCTCTCCGGTTCATCAAAAAGCCAGTTCTTTAGAAACCAAAACGCATGCATACACGCAGTCCACATCCCTTTTGAGAGCCGCCCGTATTCCCGGTTATTGTTTGAAATATTGTACATGATATTATAGCTTCCCGCATTCATTCTTTTAGTGACCGGGGAGAATCTCCTGGCCTGCAAAGAACTTCTTTGACGCCGCACACCTCTCGCTCTTGCAGCCGGGGCATCTCAGGCTGTTTTGGTGCGAGCAAGCAAGTCCGCTATCAAGATGCTCCTTGGCGAGATCGGCCAGGGCCTTGATAAAGACGGGGTTGCCGTTCAGACTCTCCACACGCTTGACGGTGTCGGGATGTCCAGACTCGCCGATAACCTCTTGGTCAAGCTCGTAAAGGGTTTCGATGTGATCAGAGGTAAAGGCAATCGGGATCAAGACCAGGTCCTTCTGGCCCTTGTGGATGTACTCCTCAACGGAGGTTTGGGTCTGGGGGCCGAGCCAAGGCTGGGGCCCGACTTGCGACTGGTAGCAAAGTCTGTAAGGGTTGGAGAAGTTGAGACGCTGCATGACCGCCTGGACGGTTGCGCCAATCTCCTGAGGATAGGGGTCACCTAAGAGGGCATGGTAAGTATAACTCAGCACAAAACAAATACAACCGATATTGGCATACCTCTGTTGATGACAGACATGGGCAAACTGTGTGCCGAGAACAGCAACACAACGTCCTTCCTGCGCTCCTCGGGGTACTCGGCCAGCTTCTCCTCGATGTTCCTCGCAAAGGCCTCGACAAGGCCAGGGTGAGTAGGCCACCTGTCAATCACACTCCAACGAATGGTCCCGTCCTTGCCATCCTCTGATGGCCCAGCTTTGCCCTCAAGCCTCTGCCTCCACTTCCATAGCTCGTTCAAACTGCTGCCCGTGGTCGAGCAAGAGTACTGGGGATACTGAGTGAAAGCGACAGCACGGCCGCCCCTGCCATTTCCGAAGCCATCGGCCAGAAGCTTCTTATACATCTCCTCGGTGAGAGGGTTGGCATAGCGGAAAGCGACATAGGGCTTGTGCGGCGCCGTCTCGGGCGAGATCTGGTCCAGAATCTTGCACATCTCCTCGCACTGGTACTCGGACCATTTGCGGATCGGAGAACCGCCGCCGATGGCATCATACTGCTTCTGAATCTTGGGAGTCCGGCGCTTCGAGATCAAAGGCCCCAAGTAGTTTTGTAGCCGACCCAGAGGAATGAGATCGGCATCGGCCTGCACGGGTTGGTCAACATAAACAGCCCCGATATAAAAGCGGCTCCGGCGAGCTGCGTTCACAAACATCGTCATCATCATGATTCATGAACATACAAATAGTCTACTCAAAAAGTCTCCAACTTCATCCAAGGTGGACGGGCCGCCCATGTTGAGGAAGACCATTGCTGTGCCGACATTCTTCTGCGTGACGGGATGAGTTGTTGGCGTGGCGAGCCACCTCATCTGCTGCTGAGCGCACCTCAACGACGGCCGGAAGCTCGATGGCCTCGCGGCCTTGCACAGCTGGCTCGTGGGCAGTCTAAGTGCCATGGAGGCCATGATGAGGAACACTGAAGAAAGGGGGTTTGGACACAGTTCAGGTCAAACTCGGCTTTCCAGGACAAAGATGTAAAGACTTGGTGGCCAAAGAGTGAAGAATATGTTTTATATAGAACAGGGACAGAGTGACGCTGCGTGAGCAGGACGGGACGGTGGCTCCTTTCAGACGTGTTAAACTCGGCCGAACAGCTTGCGAAGCTGCGATCTTGTGGGGTGATGCCGGGACTGCTGCAGGGGTCGCTGTATCGGACCTCCAAAGTCTCCGACAGTCCGACCAATTGCTGACCATTTCTCAACTGCCGTCTGGCGGTTTCTCCGAGGTGACTAGGGCGACTGTGTGGAGACAAGGTGTAAGTCACCCCCAAAGACCCCAAGATTAGTGTTAGGGTTAGCGGTTGGGTTAGGTGTTAGGGTTAGTTAGGGTTAGTTCCGGGGGTGTAGGGGGCCGGCGAGAGGCCCCCGCGTGTGAATGTGAAATTCGGCGCTCGAAAAGAGGTAGTTTTGAGCCTCGTTGTTGTCGTTGAAATGAAGACTTCTGGTGACGGTTGTCGTGACTTTGGTCGCGCAGAATTGATGCCAAGCTTTGGAGGTGAGGCCCGTGCAGCCTTCAGATTTGTATGGCCCCACACAGCAGAATGGAGGAAGCACGGGCCATGTAGGTGCCTGAAAGTGCAACTGGCATTGTCGGTTGAACTGAGCTTCTACTAGCCAATCACGTCTCACACTTGACAGTTCTAAAGCTCCAGGTCACATGCACTGGCGTTTAGGCAGTCGCGTCCCCCATCGCGTTTGCTATGAAGTCATCGTCTTAACAACCACGAATCCTTAACTTTCAGTGTTTACTCATCGCAAATCATCCAACGCCAGTTTTTCACCCCTCCTTTCGTGTAATCAGATCAAACCGAATCAAGGTTCAAAGTTCTTTCAAAATGTCTTGGAGGAAGGATGAGGATGAGAGACCAGACGGCGACGAAGGCGATGAGGAGTTGGATGAGAATGTTAGCAATCACCAATCTCCTCACGATCATCAACAAGCTTACTGACAATGAGACCAGGACTACAAAACACAGAAAGATGCAGTACTATTTGCCATCGATGTGAGCAAGTCGATGTTGAAACCACCTCAGGCTATGGGGGATAAGAAAGCCGACAAGGACTCTGCGCTCACAGCAGCCCTAAAATGCGCCTACCAAATCATGCAGCGACGAATTATCTCCCAGCCCAGAGATATGATGGGCGTCTTGCTCTTTGGAACAGAAAAGTCCAAATTCCGCGATGATTCGGGCAATGGTACAGGATATCCCCACTGTTATCTGCTATCCGACCTCGATATACCCGGTGCCGAAGACGTCAAGAAGCTTAAGGCCTTGGTGGAGGACGATGAGGATGAAGACGAGATCATGGTCCCATCAAAAGAGCCGGTGGTCATGTCAAACATGCTCTTCTGCGCCAACCAGGTCTTCACCACAAACGCCGCCAACTTCGGTTCTCGGCGCCTTTTCATTGTCACCGATAACGATGATCCTCATGCCGGTGATAAGCAGGCAAAATCATCTGCCGCCGTTCGCGCCAAGGATCTCTACGACCTCGGCGTCGTTATCGAACTATTTCCCATCAGTCGGGAGGACAAGAAGTTCGACCTATCCAAGTTCTACGACGTAAGGAAGCTTGCATAACCATTTACTGAACTTTACGCTGATGTTGAATAGGATATTATTTATCGTGATCCGGCAGCTGAGGCAGGCCAGTCAGAAGGTCCCAAGACTTCCAAGTCTGGCGACGGTTTGACTTTGCTCAACTCCTTGATCTCCAACATCAACTCGAAGCAGACCCCAAAGCGGTCTTATTTCTCGAACTTGCCCTTTGAACTCGCCCCAGGTATCACTATCTCTGTCAAAGGGTACATCCCACTCCACAGACAAACACCTTCTCGCTCATGCTATGTCTATGAAGGAGAGGAGCAGGCTCAGGTCGTCCAATCCGAGACTGCGCAGGTTGACTTTGCTGCTCGAACTGTCGAGAAGTCCGAACTGAGAAAAGGCTACAAATTTGGCGGCGAGCATATATGCTTCAAACCCGAAGAGCTGGCGGAACTCAAACAGATGGGGAAGAAAACACTTCGAATCATTGGATTCAAGAAGCGGTCCAAGATCCCGTCGTGGGCCTCGGTCAAGAAGTCCGTATTCATATTTCCCAGCGAGGAGCAATATGTCGGCTCCACTCGCGTGTTCTCTGCTTTGTGGCAGAAGCTCCTCAAAGATGACAAGGTGGGTATCGCCTGGTTCGTCGCACGGGAGAATGCCCATCCCGTCATGGTAGCCATATTTCCTTCCGGAAACCCGGATAACGAGGAGGCAAATACGCCGTACCTACCTGCAGGACTTTGGCTCTGTCCCCTCCCGTTCGCAGACGATGTCCGAAGCGTGGACCACGTAACGGCGCCTGCCAGACCCGCAGACGAACTTACAGACCAGATGAGACAAGTTATCCAGAACTTGCAGCTTCCAAAGGCTATGTATGACCCGCGCAAGTATCCAAATCCGTCACTGCAATGGCACTACAAGATTTTACAGGCCAAGGCACTCGATGAAGAAACCCCCAATTCTATGGACGATCTCACGCTACCCAAGTACAGGCAGATTGACAAAAGGGTTGGCGGTTACCTTGCCGAATGGAAGGAAATGCTCGCACAGAAGGCCAGGGATCTTCAGAACAACAGAGCGTTCAAGCGTGAGTTCGAAGACGGTGATGATGAAAGGCCAGCAAAGCGCGCGAAACCAACCAAAAAGGCTACTAATGGTGGTGGTGCCGGGCCGGCCAACAGCAACGCAGACCTGAAGAAAGCACATGAACAGGGCACGCTCGGCAAGATGACGGTAGCTGAGTTGAAGGACATCATGGCGAGCAAAGGCATCAGCACGGCTGGTAGGAAGGCTGAGCTGGTTGAGAGACTTGAACAATGGGTTGAGGAGAACTTGTGATCGTGAGATTTTTGCTTGTTAGCATGCGGAATTGTAGGAGTCTTGTCAGTTGTTTTTGGCCATGTTATGGATTGGAGATTTAGCCTAGGCGTTCTCACAGGACAGTAACGATAGTTGCTGGAAGTCAAAAGGCCATACCACAGAGCTGGAAGTCGATGTACCGGACTGATAATTGAATCCATAGTCTATCATTTGCTGCCACTTCAGCCCCAGTGTCGTCGTCAGAGAAGTCGTCCTACTATTAGAAAAGGAGACCAGAACCCTAACCCTGATATGTTATGATCCTTGGCGTGGCAAGCGAGCAACAATGCGGACGAATACTTGTACAGTGAGGTGAGGCCCTGAAGCACGGTCCACTGCTTGTGTTACATTCCCAGTCGCAATTCTTACAGCGGTACCCCCACACGTGCAGCGGCACCCAAAGCGAACCTCAATCGTCTCCACCATTTTCGAGCTGCCCGCGTTCCTCCAAAGCAGAACGACGCGCATGGCGGGCGGGAATCATCGCGACAACCACCTCAATTTCTCATCACAACCATTTCCCGCGACGGCTGTCCGACTGCTGCGCCTTTTCTCGTCGATCATCACAGCGATCGCTTAGCCAAATTCGGCATCATCTCGATCTGATCTGACTCGACCGTCCAAAACACCAAACAGGATCTCACCACTGTGGTCGAAAATCAATCACAATGGAGGCGTTGCTAGGCGTCTCCAACTCCAACCCTTCGTGCGGTTCCATCCTCGAGCTTAAGGAGCAACTGCGCAGCGTCTTCAGCACGAAGGTCACGGAAAAGAGAGCCGAACATGTTTCAGTCACCCTGGAGCTGCGCTCGACCAGCGTGTTCCACATCCCAGTCACCGAGCCCGAGAACGAGCAACTCGAGCAAGCCGCCTCAATCGATCCGTCGTTGGGAGGAGCGCGATCCAGCGTAGCGCCTGCCCCTGGGGGTGACGCCAACGGCAATGTCAACGGAAACCATCCAACTCGGCAGATTAACGCGATCGATGCGTTGATCAACCAGCCCTCCGACGACCACGTCTTGCAGAAATCGGTCGCGAAGCATATCATCACGACGCTGGGTGAAATCGATGGGAGTAGCTGGGTGGTGCGCCAGGTCTCGCGCGGCGAACAGGGGTGGACATTTGGATACATCTGCAAGGATTCATGGCAAGCCTGGAGTCGCCAGAATGCTAAGAATCCTGCCCGAGCCGTCATCGGCGAATGGAGCCAGAAACCGGATAACATGGATGCTGTCAATCTGAGTAAGTCTTTGGCTCGCATTTTCAAGCATGTTGGCGTTACTGGCCATCAGTATAATCGGGCTCTGGGCTAACAGGACATACAGGCCGTCCGGCTTTTGACTGCAGAGGATCAGTAACGATTGCGTTCCTGAAGGGGAGAAGGGTCATCGAAGTCAAATACGACCACACGCCTCTTCATAAAACAGTAGGACAACTTATTGAACTTCTAGTGCCTCCGCCGCCTCCTCGTGAACCCAAGCATGCGTTGCAACGAAGAGAACCAAAGAAGCCCAAGGAGCCGAAGGCCCCAAGGCCCCCTAAACAGCCAAGGCCACCCAAGGCACCCAGACCCCCCAAGGATCCCAATGCGCCAAAACCACCCCGGAAGAAGCGGCCCGCAGGCGAAGGCGGTGCCGAAGGGGATGGCACTCAACCTAAGAAGCGCCGCAAGAAGAAGGATGCGGCTGCTGTTGGTCCAGACGGGAGTGTTCTTCCCCCAGAGATGCCAGGTGCACTACCAGTCGGGCAGTCATCTGAACGACCTCTTTACAACAGCCATGCAGGCGGCGATACTCAAAATGGCTACAGCACCTATCCAGAAGGGCTCGTCGGTCAAGCGGCCGATGAGGGCGTTCATGTTCATTCGATCCTCAACATTCCTCCTGCCGAGGCAGCTAGGCGTCGCACGGTGGCCATCGACCTGCTCGAGTCGGGCGGCATTGACCCGAAGACCCTTTCCCCCGAACAGTTCAACATCTTCGCCAACCAATCCCCTGAACTTCAACAGGAGTCGTTGACTATGCTCAAGAAGTACGGTGCCGAACGACTCCGCATCGTACACCCCGAAAAGGAACAGGGAGGTAGTGCCCCAGCTGCCCCTGCTGCGCAGGCGGCCACAGCACCATCGACGGCGCCGATCAACCCCCCAAAGAAGAAGTCTAAGAAGAAGAAGTCCGAAGCAGTGGACACTGAGGAGGGCGTTGCCGCGTCGGGTGGCAAGAAGAAGAAAAAGGAGAAATTGACAAGAGGCAAATGCGATCCTTGTCGCGATCGTAAAATACCGGTTCGTTTGACATATATTCCCTTGTACTTGATTTGTCTCTAACCAGTTTACAGTGCACAAAGGAGAAACCATCTTGCTCGGAATGTACGACATCGGGCTTGCAATGCCATTATGCTCTCGAGAAGAAAGTGAAAGACCTTCATTCAGAGGCAGAGGCAGAAGCAGAGGCCCAGTCCGAGCCTGTAGTCGTCGAAGCCGATGACGAGCCGGAAGGCTTAGGGTCGCCGGGTTTTCACAATGAGCCGGCTCACCATGAACCGGCTAGCCATGAACCCTTCAACCAAGAACAAGACAATCATGATTCAATTGATCATATGCCACATGGACTGCCAACGTCTGGGCTGGTCTCACCTCAGCCGGAATCATCCGCAGCATATCATCAACCTTCCGACCTCTACCAGCATTTCAACTCGTCGGTGGACGCTTCGGCTACCCCCGAAGTAAACCACACCGGCGTCACACCTGCAGCGATGGACTATATGCATTCCTCGGTTACTGACAACTCTTTGCACAACTTCTCATACACCCAACCACAGCCTGAGCCCGAGCCGGCACCGGTACCCGAGCCAGAACCCATTCCTGAGCCAGTGCCTGTTGTTGAGCAACCTCCCCCCGTCCAGCACACATCTCACTACGCTCAGCAGTCCAGCTCAACACAGTCGGGTGGCAGGACACGACGCAGTCTGCCTTCAGGGCCATCATTGCAGAGCGGCGCCACGAACAGTCACACAACCCATGCTCCGACAGAAAGCTGGACTCCTGTGCCGGTACCTACTATCCCTGCCGCCTACCAGAGCAAACCCTCTCCTAGGGCTTCGAGGGCAAGGAAACCAGTACCAGCTGCGCCTCAGACGTCGGTTCAAAATACGACGCAGCACAGAACCCAGAATACTGTGCAACACCCGGTGTCACAAGCGTTTGATGACCTGCGGCAAACCCCAAGCTGGTCGTCGGTCCCTCAGCCTACTGTTGCTGTCCAAAAGACAACTCAGCAACAGGCGCGCACCTCACCCTATCAAGCAGCAGCCCAGACCGTTCGTACATCGTCTCGGCAGGGCAACCGAAGCCAGAACCATACACCGGTACAGCAGCAAACCAGTGCGTCAGGACGGCATAGCCAGCTGCAAACTTCCCAATCCCATACGGACAACTCTAGTTACCAGTCCAACACAGGCGTAACAGCCTCAAGTTCGGTTGGTAATTACGATAGCTATTCGCAATATCCTACGTCCAATAGCAGGACTGAAGCCACGAATACTCGTATGAACTATGAACCCTATACTAATCCGTCATCCACTACGTCCAACTCTTATTCGTCTTACGACACTTATAACACACGGTCAAGCACCAAAACGCCAGTAGCAAGTTTATCAGCAGCGCAGCCCACGGCTACCTCATACAACACCAACACAGCTACGGCGGCTCCAAGCACGTCACAATGGGGTTCAAGTACGTCTGTTCCTCAAACGCGAAGCAGTGCTCGCTCAACTTACGATACAAACCCAACCACATCGGCCTCCAACTCGTACAACATGACCTCTTCGAGCGCGCAACAATCTGGCTCCCTCCAGGGCTTCAACGTCAGGCCGCAATCCATGACCCAGACCAGGTCCTCCACCGCCGCCTATGCCCAGCAGCAACAGCAACACCACCAGCAGAAATCACAGGCGCAGCAGCAGCAGCGACAGCAGGTCCAGCAGCAGCAGCCAAGCTACAACAGCTACACAAGCCAGTCGCACACCACGAGCACGCAGCAGCAGCAGCCGCAACACCAACAGCAGCAGCAACAGCAGCAACAGCAGCAGACGCAAAACTGGGGTTACGGAGGCTTCGGATCGACCACTAACCCTTCGTCGACCGGTTACGGCTCCACCGGAGCCAGCAGCAGCGCAAACAAGGGCTACTCGACAGGGACCTCGGCAAGCTCGCATGCCCACAACGCGGCGGCCGCCGCGACCAATGCTGCGGCGTACAGCCACCAGCAGCCTCATCATAGGTCGATGAACCTGTCGAGTAATACGTACAGCAGCCACATTGGGAACGAGGATCAGATGCTTTATGATTTGCTTAGACACCCTGGTGCTTAGTTGGATGACTTGGGTGGGGGAGGAAACATGTAGCAAGGTCGATTGATGAATTGAAGTGGAGTAGAATTGGACGGAATGGTTGGATTGAGGGGTGTATGGGAAGCTCGATTGCCTTGCCATGCGTTGAGACTGTTGCGGGTATGTTATGAGCCACGTCCGCAATACTCAGGCAGGATTGGGGAAGACATGAGGAATGGGGCTATTGATGAGCTGAGGTCATCACTTTCTTTTTGCTTTCGGAAGTTGAGAATCAGTTGAAGTAACAGGACGGAACGAGGTCACGTATTGGGGCTGAGATATGTTGGTAGGGTAGCGGGGATGGATGAACAAAAAGTATTTCTCTTCTGACAATAATCCGATTGTCTGCTGTTCGGCCGGTCCCCGTATTTCTCTCTCGGCGATTAGATATGTGGCACTTTTCTTATAGGGATAGGGAGGAGGAGTGTGTGAAAAACAGCTCGCAGGTAGCGCTTTTCTTTTTTTTTCCGCTCTGGGGTTTTATAGCTTGCTTAGGTCATTGTGAGAAACTGGTGGAACTTCATTTTCGGGATGTTGTTGACGTTTGAAATTTTATTGAATCTCTTCCTTCCCATCATGGCAGTCATGAACTCATGTCTGTTCTCGTCTCTTCCGCCTGAGTCTGACGTGTCGACAGTCTGTCCTCGTTGCTCATTGAATGGGTAGGTAGGTAGATAGAGACACGCTGCACACTCACACTCGAGGACTTTCCATCAATAAACCAGGCGTGTGCATTACATTACCCATGGTTTTTTCTACGTACACTTCCAGTTTGGAATTGCCGCAATTATGTACTGTATAGTCAAAAAGCACTACCAGCAACCTTAAAAACATCATCAAAATCCAGTATGGAGCTCTTGAAGTTGACCTACACACCGTAATTAGAAAAGAAAGAAAAAAAGACTGAAAAAGAGAAAACCCTACTCACCCCAACCCAAGACTTCACAAGCGCAGTCAGCTCAGCTCAGCTCGCTTCATTGTTCGGCTTCATCGCTACCTATCCACCACGTAGCACCAACTAGCCAAAATGCAAAACGCAAGTAGTAAGCAGCAACTACTTTCCAATAGTTCATATAAACTATTGGTTTTACTAACGAAGCTGGCTCACGGTCTCGCCCAGTCAGCCAGCCCTAGGAGGAGACAAGCGCTGGTTCAGGTGGGTTGAATCAAAATGGATTGGGGGGGGGGTCAAGTCGGTTGAGTTAAAATGGGCAACACCAGGTTCGATTTGGACTCTGGTTCCGATGCGTTGTGATTGTCAGCTTGGTTGGTGGCTCGGTTCGAATACCTAGGTAGACAGCGAGGTCGTCCAGCGTGGTTTAAGGTTGCTGGCCGGTTTCTACGTGGTCTGTGTTGGTGGTCCATTTGCCCGTCTGTGAGTTGAGTAAGTCGGTCGGTTGGTTGGTTGGTCGACCGATCGGAGCTGGCCTCTGGTCTGGAACAATTCCATGCACAGATGGCGAGATCGGCGTCCAGGATTTTGTATGGTCCTCTTGCTTTCTGTTTTTGATGTAACTATGTACCTTTGTCAACCACACAATAGTTTGTAAAATATGTATGTGCTGTGCTCACATTCAAATATCACATCACAGCATCGGAGAGTCACACACGTGGCTTGCAGGTTACCTACCTCCCTGCACTACAGCTCGAGTCCAGTCGGGTCGGGGTATGCACCCCGGAGGATGTAACGGCGGCTCAGGCAAGGGAAAGAAACAAATATATGATGTGTGATGAGGAGATGTCGGTGGTGGGAGGTAGGAGGTGGAATAGCCCGTGAGGATGGGGTAGCAATATAAGCAGAAATTTTTTACCCGAACTTATGGTCTAGGCTTCGATAATGTGCAAAAGCAGATTTTTTGGTGTTCAGGTGTCTGCTTCCATGCTCACGGCGAGTGTAGTGTGTGTGATTCTGGTTCTTGTTAGCTTCAGGCAAAATTCGGTTCATATGTAGTCACCCAGGTTTGGTGAACCAAGCACACCCCGACCGTCGCTGCCGGCAGATGGAGTTTTTATATTGATGAAGTGTTTATAATTGTTTCCAATGTTGTGCTGTCCCGGGCCGTCAACTTCGGGAATTGAAAGAACCGTCAAGTCGACCACAGCCGTTGTCGGAATCGATAATCATGCGTTCTCAATGTAAGTAAGCAAGCCATGTGGGTAAAAGCTTTCTGTTCGTGTAGCCAACAAGCCAACAAGTCAGCTGGGTGAGATTTTGGGAGGAAAAGAAAAACGAGAATGGAAGTGGACGAATCGATGAAACCGCATGATTCCAAATGGATACACGATGACATGCTGTGAAATGTCGTTGCAGAACTGTAAACCAACAAGTGTTCACTCTCTCGAGAACCCCCCTTTATAGTTCCCTTTTGGGTTATTCGTTCACCAACGACTTCGCCGTCAGAGTGATTCAAGAAGCAGTCGACATCAGACTGGAGAAGTCAGAAGAGGACGAGCAACATAACATAAAAGCCAAGCCACCCAAACAGGACACAGGACGGGGCCCGTACGTCGGCCTTGTCCACCAAATTAAGCCTGGTTCCGCCGGAAGAGGCTGAAATTAGCGCCGCCGCAAATCGTCGGGAATGGTTATAATGGCGCCGCCGTACCCGTACGACCCGTACCGGGACCAGAGAAACGCCAAGGGGACCACCACCGCGACCACCGTGACTCGCTGTGATGCGAACTACCTCTTCCGGGTACCGAAAGAGCCGCCGAGATGGTGTCCACCGTTGTCGTAGTCCTCGTGGGCCTCCTCGCTTGACGTGAGATGAGGATAGGGACGGCCACCTCACTCGACAGTAAGGGACATGGGGCATGGGGGGCAATGAGGCTTTGCGCCGAGCGCGCTTACTCTCTCTGGGAGTCTTGGGGAGATCACCAAATAAATACGAGCGGTAGCTTCCCAATACGTGTAGCGAAAAGACCCGCCAGGAAGGGACCCTGAAGGCCTGAAGAGGAGTGAAAAGCCTTTCATTCATCTGCCATGTCCCGGGACGTTGGGTCGCTCTTTCTGTGAAACCTCTTCTTGGCTCTTCTTTTTGTCTTAAATAATTTTCTTTCCTCCTCCCTTCACCCTTGTTCCTTTTTAGGGCGGTTTCACCATCGCTGTGGTTCGGCCGCTTGGCACAAGTTGGCGGTCCTGGCGGCTGGCTCAGCAGCAACTGAAAAAGTGTGAAGGTATCCTCTTGGGGATATGCACTGCGAGCCAATGCCTGACTACCGCTCTTTTTCCCATTCAAATGGGATTTATCCCCAGACTCTTCTGGCCAATTACAGGTCTGCTAGGCACGTTGAGGCGTCGGCCTGCGGCCCTTCTCAGGATATGGGGAAGAGAAAGCGTGGGTATAATCGCCCTAGAGGTAGCTGCAGGTTGTGGCGCTCTGTTCAGCAGCTGAGGTTTTGTGTGGTTACAGGACCCCTCGAGAAAGAAAGGGAAACTCCAGGGAGGGTTTTCGGTAACAGTTACCTTGAAAACGTTTGCGACTTATGAGGCGGGGTTATCTGTGGGTGTGATGTCTTGCTCTGACCGCTCTGGATTCAGTTTTCGAGTTCCTAAGCCCTCCCTTCCGTTGATCGTCAGAGCTCTGGGACCTCTTGCAGACGATATAGAAATGCGAACAGTCGGAGGAAAGATGCCGAATGGCGGTCCAGGGCTGGAAGTGACGTGATGTTTTCTCGTGATAGTCGAAAAGGCAAGAACCGATCAACCCGCTCCTCTCTGCGCCTACCCGAAAGACAAGCACATGATGTGTCAAAACGTAAAATAATGAAAACAGGAACTGTCAATGCTGCGTGGGAGTGTCGATGAAAGACAGCCACACATCCGCGCGAATAGTAGTAGGGGCAGTATATAACCGAAAGCCAATGCTCGTTGCGACGGAATGTTCAATCTTGGTTGATGATGTTTGTTAAATGAAAGCCATCTTGATAAACCGGCCTCAACCCTTGGTTATGATGGTCCCGTCTTTGTGACGTATCGTTGTCGGCATCAGCCGCCTGCATATCTGGACATACCGCTGTAATAACAGAAAAATATATGTAAGTGGGAAGGTAAGCGACCGCTCTATAGGGCCTGCAACTATCGGCAGCTACCCCTTTCATCCAAATTGGGGAGTCGTCAGCCTCCATCTACCTTTTCACTCCAACAAGTAATGAATCACCTGGATCTTGACAGAGAAGACTCTATGATCTTCCCGCCCCTGGCATCCATATCGATGTACCTTCGCAATTTTCCATCTTTGCCGTCAGCCGTGGTCATCGGAGCCGCCCCGAACTTTGTTTCTTGGGATGCCAGTGGCGTTCACGATGGCAGGCCCCACCGAACGACTCCTGCAAGTCCACTGACTGAACATTCCGACATTCAATTTTCAAGTGATCCTAAGAGTTCTGGCCAAGGCGGTCCGGCTGTTTCATTGTGTGCCAATGGCTCCGAGCTCCAGCGGCCGCCTCCACGATTCTGCGCCTCAACACGCCATTTCGCTTGGTCCATGTTCGGATCTACATACCTTGTGTGGTTGTGGGGTTTGTCAGGAACTCCATTGATGGCTGACTGTCTTCTTTTCGACAGCCCAGTTATGCCCGTATACCGTATACCTCTTGTGAGACACAAACGGACGGGCAACAGATAATGCTGGCATGTCTGAGCCTCGGAGTTATCCCAGAAATACCTACCTCATGGCTCATGCTGTGTCGATCATCTGCCGACCGGGCCGCCTCGTGTGCCTTGTTGCCCTCTTTGGAGATGAAAGGTGACATTGTGTACGAGATATTCACCATGCCCGCCGTTCATTCAGCAGTGTCCAAGCGGCCAGGAACACAAACTTAGAACTCGTATCCCTGATCGACTTGGCCCTGGAGTGCCTGACAATCCTAACCTGAGATGGCATCTCACAGGTTCGACAGGACATCGGATGCGCACGGTGGGATCTGATGCCGTTAGGTGGAAACAGGTTCCATCGAAAAGTGACCCTCAATTCTCAAGTTAGAAACTGCCACCTGGGCCACCATTGCCCTTTTGCAGACCCGAAGAAGCAAAGTGGAAAGAGCCGGCCGCCGGAGATCGCTGCTGGAGTCGTTGGAGTCTCTCTTTCCAAACGGGAGTCGGGTCTTTTGCTCGTCCGGGTTGCGCTTCCACTTTCTCTGCTGGTCGGCTGCTAGGGCCTGCTGGAGCCCCATGCATTTGACAGGGGCTGCAGGGCAGGGCAAGCAGGGGGCAATTGGCGAGTAGGAGCGAGCGAGATGCCGTGGTCGTGGATGCCACTGGATGCGACGGCGAGGGACCAGGACACCACCACTGGCACCACCACAACTGCTGAGGGTGAGGGTTGGTGACGGGAGGGCAGGAGGGTTCCATGGCGGACAAAAGACGGGCCACAGGCACTGAAGGTGCAGACACGACTCTAACCGACGTGCGCTAGGAAACATCTGACGAAACGACCGCCAAGCCACCTCCTCCACCAATACCCCGGCCTCCATCCCGGCCCTTTGGAATGATCCTGGCCGCTGTCTCTAGACTCCTCTCTGCATCCCAGAGAAGAGCTGGTGAACCATTGATGAAGCTGCATCGCTTGGCTTCCATCCTCCGTCCAGGTACATGTACATATATGCCCACCACCTCCCCCCCTTTGCTCACATCCTCTCCCACAACGTATTCTACATTGGACAAGCTTGTCATCTTTATTATTTACAGAATTCAAACGCCTTTGCGGTCTGCCTTGTGACAGGTGTACGACCTGAGACCTCGTGTTGGAGACCTTGGCCTCAGCTTCTTTCAGTCATTCAGTGTATAATAGCACCTCACACGCAACACCGCTTCCGCCGCCTTCTCCCGTGAGACGACGCATCTGATCCGCAACCCGTCGCGTGATTCAAGTCACTGTCCATCAAGTCCCTTTTCCGGGTGAATATGAGCAGCCCTTGGAACTGCTTCCCTCAGTTGTGCCCTCCTGGAAGCACTGGACCCCGGCGACCCTGAGTGAGCCCTGGATATCATCCATCATATCAAAAACAAGAATCACCGGAAAAAAGAACGAGCAAGAAAAGGAAAAGGAGGAAAAAAGGGAAACAGCACCTCTACGATACATAACGACAATCTTTAATCAAGATGCCATCCCTAACGACCCCAGTGGAAGACCGTGTTATTCACGACGAGCACAACGACTGCATGACGGACGACGACTCTGATTTCGACTTTGACGAGGAATATTTTGCCCGTACCTATCAACCCCTGTCGAACCTCCCCACACCGCCCCCCTCCTCCCGCAATTCGTCGGTCCCACAGAGCCCCCGATCACTCGTGGAAAATGGAGGACTTCTCGACTCGGAACTATTAGGTAAGTGTTTATTGTTATGTTTTTCTACGACCTTGTTCTAACATATCCATCAAATAGGCCCTGCAATTCACCTGGTCAACCTCATCCCACCTGCTGCGTCCCTGGCGTTGCCTTCTGTGTCCCTCGTCCACGAGTTGCTCACGCGCACAGGCTTGAAGCAGGACGAGATCGCTCTCGCCGTCTGTATTCTAGATTCTCTCAGCTCCAAGTTCGCGCTGAACTGGCGCCTGCGCTGTCCGCCATCTCTCCGCGAAGGTTCCACCACCGGCACCGAGCAACAGCAACAGTCAAAGCGATACACCCTTCCGGCAAACCCGGCGGCGGCAGCCGCCAGTCAACTCCACATCGACTGCGTCAAGCCCGAGGTCATTGTTTTGGGTGCGCTCGTCATCGCCGTCAAGTTCCTGGAGGATGCCCACGCGCCGACCCAATACTACCGCTCCGCATGGGGTAACAACCTGTGGACGTGCGAGCAGATCAACATCACGGAACGCTGCATCATGGAGGACCTGAACTACAGGATCCTTCCCCTATGGGATGAGCGCTTGATCGGGGATGCGCTGAATGATATGGAGCGCGCCGGAAGGCAGGCTCTGCTTCTTCCTCCCCCTGCGGCGGCGGCGCAATCCCAGTACCAACCCCAATCTCAAAAAGAACAACACAAGCGATTTTTAAGCTTGGGCGCGGCTGTCTATGGTCTGGGATTGCAGTTGACACCGGCGGGAACGCCATTGTCTGAATGCAACTCACCGCCTGACTTCGACATGGACGGGCAATGAATTGCCCCTCGGAGCCGAAAGGCACGAGGGAACGATTTTTGATGGTTTATAATTAGCCTCGGACTCCCATTTGTCCATTTTCCTTTTACCAGCATTATACCCTCACGGTTTTCACGGACTCTCAGTCAAGACCATTCTTCGGCGTTTACCTGTGGTCATAGGTCGATGACAGCAAAAACCATACGGCGGATTAGGGGACTGTCAGCAGCATTCATCGATTCATACGTCCGAGCGCCAGCATCGGAAGGCTACTGCGCTTATTCTCTTAACGGACTTGAAGGCACGAACGACGAAAGGGGCGGGCATGATCAGTTTTTGGTTAGGCGTTTTGGGGCGAGAGCGGATCATCTGTTGTTTGGTTCTGGGCCGGTATACCTGTCAGGATCGAGGAGTTTTTGCGTATTCTGTTTTACTGCCTCTCACAAAGAAAGGCTTTGTTAGGGAGGGATCGGCAATGAGTTAAAAGGAGGAGACTGAAAGTGATCAGAAGAAGCGGTCATCCCCAACGGGGATATGTCTGGTGCACCGCACGGCCTTGGGCGTATCCGATCAGAAGCATAATTATCACCGAGCTTACTTTACGCAGCAGTACATATCCATAACAGATAGTCTTTGTCGTAGTAATAGTATAATCATGACTACCACATAACCTCGTTATCCATCCATGTACAAGGGCAGTTTACATTCCAATGCGTCGGTCGGTTCATTCGACGCTCGTCCCGTCTCTAAGCTGTGACATCATCGGAATCCTGATACGAACGACCAAGGGTGAAGAGCGAAAAAGGGCTACGAAAGCGAAACGGGAGACGCGCGGTCAGTGCACTACCCATCTCTAAATGAAGACGGACTGGCGATCATAACTTCCAGGGGTTTGTATACAAGCACGGGCGCCCCCCCCGTTACAAAGACACGGCCCATGCTCCACGGTCCACCCTTGGCTCCGTCTGTCAGTGACAAACAACCCACTCCGATACTCCGCCCGTGAGGCCCGCCCCTGCGTGGGTTCGAACTTCGGCCCCTCCGAAACGAGCGGGGATAGCGTCACCGGCCGGGCGTGGGTCCGTCCGTTCATCAGATAACGACGGGAGCTGAACGGTTTGAGCAAGCTGAACTCCTGCTGGAGTCTGGACTGGAGCAAAACTCAAAACAGCGAGATCGGGAGCACTACAAACAAGCTAGAATAATTGGGTACCGTGGTAAGGATTTAGGACGGCTTCCGTCTGCTGTAGTGACGTCTGGGCCGAAATCGACATTGTAAGTTCCCCTGGACCCCTGAAGATTGGATATCTTGAGAGATCCGTTGCGCTACCTAGAAATTCATCCATCAACTGGTGATATGTACGTCGTGGAATGAACGAATGCAAATAACCTAAAAAATCCCTTGTCATCTCAATTCGACCAAACTGATTGCAAAAAGATTGGAGAAAACACCTAACCCATCTGTCCACTCAGCGCAGCCACCAACCATCTTGCAAACATACTTCACCAGCACTATCCCCTTCCCTACCTGAACCAACTTCTTCGGAAGGATAGAAGCGAAGAAAAACAAACACAAAGCATAAATTACCGGCCATTTCGTATTTCCCAAGTCGCTTTTCGCAAGTCTTAGCATAAGTAACAGCAAGATCTTAGCTCTCTCTCTTGGGCCCGAAAGTGCTTCCATCACTAAGACGGCTCTAAAGTCTAGATTCAGCCTCAAGTCCACTTGATGTTTTCTTGAAGTGGACAAAACAAAACTTGAACGAAGAAGCAGGACATCAAAGACTCCGCTTGGAGAAGTGGTGGGCGGCGTCTGATGAAGATGCACATAAAAACATACATAAGCCGGTATGCGTCCGCCGCCGTCTGCATGTGTAGTTTGGGCTTTTGATCCGAATATTGAGATGTTCAAGATGATGGACATTTGGATCTGCCAAAGATCTGTTCCTTGCAGATGAAACACCAGATCTTCACAAGTTTCAAGATCGGACGAAACGAAGGCAAAACAAAGTAGACAAAAGTTGATGAGTCATTCAATTAGATTAGGCATTAGATCTAAGCTAGATACAAAAAGATACGTATCAAACGTATGTATGTACAAACAAATATAAAGAAAAAGAAACGAAATAAACGTATATACATAACGTATACAAAACGAATGAACGAAACGAACGAACGTAACGCACGTAACGCATACACACCGATCAACAGTGTACATACAGAACGAACATACGCATCATTCACAATCATTCATACAAATCATTACACTCAATTTGAATCATTAGATCATAGCCGCTTCAAGCGGACTTTGAAGAGAGAAAAAAGAAAGAACAAAGCGAAACGAAGATGTCTACCGAAATCGTTTACGCGTTCTATCTCTTACTCTTTTTGTGTTAGATAGACACGACAAAGGAAATCAAACCCTTTTTGTCTATACACCGGAACACCGAAAACCCTAGATGAAAAAAAGAGAGACGACCATCTTCTAACCAGACATGACCAACGCCAGGAGGGCCATACGGCAGTAGAGACCATATCTCATCTACAATCTGTCAGCAAACGAACTCGACCGCCGCATTGTAGCGGAAACAATGTCAAAGGGGATCTTACCTGTCTGAAGTATGCGGCCCGCTGGTCGAAGTCAACCTCCTCAGCAACCTCCTCGTTCCTGGGGAGCGGGTGCATGATAGCCATCTTGCTCTTGGTGTGCTTGAGGGTCTGGTTGTCGATGCGGTAAGAACCCTTCACCTTCTCATACTCCGCCTCGCTCGTGAACCTCTCCTTCTGCACACGGGTGCAGTACAAGACATCAGTCTTGCCAAGGATCTCAGGGGTCAACGTCTCAGACTCGCAGAGCAGCTGGCCAGCCTTCACCAGTTGCTGACGAACATCAGCAGGCAACTCAAGTCCCTTGGGGGAGACGAGCTGCACCTTGACTCCCGAGTAGTGACGAAGCAAGTAGACCAGGGAATGCACAGGTCTGCCATAGCGAAGGTCACCGACGAACGTGAAGGTCAAGCCCTGGACAGTGCCCAGCTCCTCACGGACGGTGAAGAGATCCAGGAAAGCCTGGGTGGGGTGCTCCCTGCTTCCGTTACCAGCGTTGACGACAGGCACCGGGCTGTACTTCTTGGCAACGTGAACGCAGTTCTCATCGGGATGGCGGAGAACAATGGCGTCGGCGTAGCAGGCAAGAGTACGAAGCGTATCCTGCAGAGTCTCGCCCTTCTGAACAGAGGAGTACTGCGTGGCAATGGAAATGACTTCACCGCCAAGACGCTTCATGGCCGCCTCGAAAGATGCCGATGTACGAGTGGAAGGCTCGTAGAAGAGAGTGGCAAGCATGCGTCCCTTGAGAATGTCCATGACGTTTCCGCGCTGGACACTGAGGCGCATCTCCTCGGCAACAGTGAAAAGAAGATGCAAGTCGGCGCGAGTGTACTGCTCCACGGACAGAACATGAGCCTTCTTGAAAGAGTGAGGCCTGGAGAGCGAGTCCTGAAGGGTGAAGTTGAGCTGCCCAGAGAGCTGAAGTGGTGTATGGCTGGTCTGGTAGTCACGCTCGCCAATGTCCATGTCGCGGTACCTGGCAATAGCCTCGACGAGGATCTTGGCGTTCTTCACGTTGGTGATCAAGGGAATCTGGTAGTCAACAGCCATGCGACGTGTCTGGTAACCCTTGCTGATGTAGCTGGCAGGGCGTCTGTACCTGTTGTTGGAAGGCAGGTTGATGTAGAGGTCGATCATGTTGTTAGCCAAGTGCTGGGTGAGGGAGTACTCGGACTTCTGGTCATCCTCATTGGCGAGAACCTCCAAGAACTGCACGGGAATGTCATGCTCTTGAAGGAAATCAGCAGTACCGGCGGTAGCGAAGAGCTTGTAGCCCATCTCAGAAAGCTTGGCGACAGAAGGCAGCATCTCCCTCTTGTCCTTGTACGAACCGATGGAGAGCAAGATGTTCTTCTTGGGAACCTTGAAGCCGGTGGACATCAAAGCCTTGAGGTAGGCCTCGTACTTGTCAACACCAAAGGAGGCAACTTCACCAGTGGAAGCCATCTCAACACCCAAGACAGGGTCAGCGCCAGACAGACGAGAGAAACTGAACTGGGGGACCTTGACACCAACACCGCCAGCAGGACGATCGATGGCAGGATACTCCTCGAAAGGCAGGCCCATGATAGCCTTGGTGGCCATCTCGATGAGATCAACTCCCATAACCTTGGAGACGAAGGGGAAAGAGCGCGAAGCGCGAACGTTGCACTCAATCACCTTGATGTCGTTGTCCTTGGCAATGAACTGGATGTTGAAAGGACCGGTGACGTTGAGAGCGGCACCGATCTTGCGAGTGGCTTCCTCGATGCGCTGAATAGTGGCCTGCTCCAGATCCTGAGGCGGCAGGATGAGGGTGGCATCACCAGAGTGAACACCAGCGTTCTCGACGTGTTCAGAGATGAAGTGTCCAACAACCTTTCCGTCCTTGGCCACAGCGTCCATCTCGATTTCCTTGGCGTTTTCGATGTACTTGGTAATGACGACAGGGTGCTCAGGAGAGACATCGGCAGCCTGCTGAAGGTAGGACTCAAGATCGGCCTCGGAGTAGACGGTGTTCATGGCGGCGCCAGAAAGCACGTAGGAAGGTCTGACGAGCACCGGGTACGAGACCTTTTGGCAGAAGGCCTTAGCCTCCTCGAAGCTGGTAAGCTCCTTCCAAGTCGGCTGGTCGACACCAATACGGTCAAGCATGCGGGAGAATTTGTAGCGGTTCTCGGCAGTGTCAATCATCTCAGGAGAAGTACCTAGGACTTTGACGCCAGCACGAAGAAGGGGCAGAGCAATGTTGTTAGGCGTCTGGCCACCCATAGCTCCCAAGACTCCGCTGGCGTTCTCCATCTGGTAGACGTCCAGAACGGTTTCCAGGTTGATGTTCTCGAAGTACAGCTTGTCGGCTTCATCGTAGTCGGTACTGACAGTCTCAGGGTTGTAGTTGACCATAATCGTCTTAAAGCCAGACTCGCGGAGTGTGCGAATGGCCCGAACGGAACACCAGTCGAATTCGACGGAAGAACCGATGCGGTACACACCCGAACCAAGAACCATGACACCA